ATATAAATAATTAAACTTTTATAAAGGTAATTTAGTCCGTATACTTTAAAAGATCATAATAATTTAATATATGAACGGTTATTTGTTTAGTATCTATCATAAAAATATAATTAAGATTTTAATCAGGAAAACTCGAGTAGGTATAATAATAAAGAGTACAACCACAACTTACTCAGAAACTTTATATGTATAAAAGAGATTAGACGGTATACGTTCCCTGAATTCAAGTTAGATTCTATATATAACAATCGGATTTTTCAAAATTTACGTAAAAGATAAAGTTACATGAATTACAACATTACCTTATTTAAAATTCAAGTTAATTTATTTGGTATTTATGACCACAAAACTTCATTATTTTTTTAGGTCAAATGAAAACAGGGCCATGTAGAATGCTTTACACATCACACCCAAAGACATTTAAGAAATAAAAAATAAAAGAATTAAATGAGTACAGAACTCAGAAGAACCATCAATATTCAAACAATGTGCATCGAAACTCGAAACATAATATCATTTAAATAATGAGAAAACCCATTTTAATTTCGAAATTCAGAAACGACCGAAAAAAAATATATTAATTTTTTTTTTTAAAGGTGAAATAACAAAGTTTAGTGATAGATCCCTAAATTTTTAAAAATTTATTGGTAAATATTTGGTAATATATTTCTAATAAAATCTTAGTAATTCAAATAAATATTAACATTCTTCGAATAATATTTTTAATTAAGAAAATATAAAGTATGTCAAAAATCTATGAGACACCATTAAAATTCAAAGAATTTATTAGATGCAATTTAAAAAAAAAAAAAAGGAAGATATTTGATAAAATTTTTATTTGTTTAATTTATTCTAATTAGTATTTTATTTTATTTGGCAGAGATGGGCGTCTTGTATTTGAGGTTTGGAGCAACAAAACAAGTGTAAAAGTACAGCTAAGAATGAAGCCGACAGAGTAAAAACCATTTTTAAAACCAACCCAATTATACCAAAAACGTGTTGATTTCGAATTCTTTCTTCTTTTCTTTTTAATTTTTTATTTTTTTTAATTTTTAATTTTTAATTTTTTTTTTTTATCTCTTTCTCTCTCTTCCCCTTGAAACCCAATTCCCAAATTTCCCATATATCCAATCGACTATTTCTCTGCATGTGAAATGCTATTTATACAAACCCAGAATTTATTCAATCCTTCCAACAAAGCCCCATATGCGAAATCTCCAAGAAACTGATTCCTTTCAGTCAAGAAATCCTATTAATCCTTTTTTAGTTTTTCTGTTTATGGTTGTCATGTCTCACGATAGTCGGTGGACGAACATGACTCAGTCTTCGACTCAGTGGACTCGGTTGGAGGACAAGCTTTTCGAGGAGGCTTTGGTGGTGGTTCCAGAAAACTTGCCTGATCGGTGGCAGAGGGTCGCCGACCATGTCCCTGGAAAGTCGCCGTGGGAGGTTAAAGATCACTACGAGGCTCTGGTTCACGACGTCCTTGAAATTGACTCTGGCCGAGTTGAGTTGCCGAGTTATGCTGATGAAACGGCCGGGGGCTTGCCGGAATGGGACTCTTCTGGACAGATCTCTTTTGGAACCAGAGCCAAGGCTGGTGGGGATAACGAGAGGAAGAAAGGGACACCATGGACTGAAGAAGAACATAGGTAATCCATATATATACATTCTTTTTTACCCAACTTCTTTGTTTTCTGTTTGGCTGCTGAGAAAAATGGTGGGAAAACGGAAAATAGGAGAGAAATCTGTTGGGTTTTGTGTTTTGTGCTTCCAAATTGGGAATTCCAGAGATGCAAACAGTTTCTGATTTAGGAATATGCCTTTAATTGTGTGCTGTCCACCTCGAATTTTCAGTTTTTAAGGGTTTTTTTTCACAATTCTTTTGGAGTTACAACTCTGGCTTCTGAACTTCTATCTTAAGCAATGGAAAGTCCCTATCGTTTTGGGGTCCCTAAATTGAGGAAGAACAACACTGTTCCCTGAACAAGAATCAGGTGGCTGGCAGGAGATTTATCATTAACAACGAAGCCATCTTTCAGGATTGAGTTCTTGAGCAAGAATTCGGCCAAGAACATGGATTTTTGAACTTACTGACTTGTTTTCTCTGAACAACCGTAAGTGTGTGAGCTGGCTTTTGTAATGGATTAAGTTCTTAAGCTTATGACATTGACATTTAGAAACAACTGGGTTCATGGTTTGCCCATTTAACCAATGAGCTAAGTAATGGTATAGAAGGTTCTGCTACCATATTCGTAATGGATTCTTCATCAAGTTTTGAGTGTTGGCCTAAAAGCTAAAGTTGGCGTTTGATACAGTCTAATAGTTCTAGATTTCAATGCACCCTATGCTTTGAGATCTGTTCTAGCAGTGATTGGTTCATAATACATACCTAAAATTGTATTCTTCACTGGCTGTGGTTTCTTTTCCAAGTGTCATGTCAAATATGTAATGCTGTCTTTTATATGCTTTGTCACTCTTCGGTTTATGGATTTGTCATGAAAAGTTGTGTTTGACACTGTGACAGGCTATTTCTTCTTGGACTGAAAAAGTTTGGCAAGGGCGATTGGAGGAGCATCTCAAGGAATGTTGTGATCACAAGAACACCAACTCAGGTGGCCAGCCATGCCCAGAAATACTTTCTCCGACAAAACTCCGGTAAGAAAGAAAGGAAACGATCAAGCATTCACGACATCACAACAGTCGACAACAACTCCATCCCCATGCCTATCGACCCCAATTGGATATCTCCAGCCCCAAATCCAACCGTTCAATCAAGTATGCAGCAGGTAAGTCCCACAGGTCATTTGCAAGACCAAGGAGGCTCATTCGGGTTTCAAAATTACAGGTTCCCGATGTAGCCGTTGGCGGGATACCCTTACAATTCTACATTGTAAATACATGAAGAAATCCGTAAAGGCATACGTACCCGGGGTTTGGTTGTTCTTTTGGTTGCCACAGTTGAGGGAAACCTGATGATATGGAATTTGAACAGTGGTAGATTCCTGTCTGTAAGTACATAGAAGAAAAGAGGCATAAACCATTAGTAGAAACAGTAGTAGTGATGATTATTATTAGAAACAGCAGTTAAAAGTAATGTAAAAAGAAAGGAGGAGGGTAGGAAAAACACAGCATATGAATGGAAAATTCTTTGTTGGATTGTGACTAGTCCTGCAATCAGAATTAGCTGCAGGAAGCTCCACTTTAATTCACTAGATGATTGTTTGCTTTGTACTCAAGGAAATACAAAAAACCAACGGCCAGCAGTGTCTATTAGACTGAAGATTTAGACTGATCACTGTTCTCTTGTTGAATTGGGCTTGACTTTGTAAGAGTTCTTTTCTTTTTTTCTTCTTTTCTTCTTGTCAGAGAAAAATGGAGAGCCTTCAATTCCGCCGCCAGATTGGAGTTTATTCACAATCCCATCATACCATGTCTCTCCAATAATTGGAGAAAAGGAAAAAAAGTATATCATGCGCATGCATGGTGAATCATTTTGGTTTGAATTTCAAAGCATGATCAGAAATCATGTAACAAAAATACTTTTTCGAGATGGCTGATAATAAGTATTAATTGAAATGAAAAGGTAAAGAAAAGAAAAGTAAATATTTTAACGTAATGTTTCATTCTGAATTTATTGATTCTATGAACAGCTTCATCAAAGAATCCCGGCAGTTTCGAGAATGATAAAACAATTAAAAAAGATTAGTATGCAAGATAATTTCAAAAAGCACATACACCAAGACTGCCCTTGAATCGGTTTTACTGTCTTTACAATCACAGGAAATTACTCAATGAAGGATCAAACAAAAAAAAAAAAAAAAAAAAAAAAA